ATATATATATATATATATATTTATATATATAAATACTCGCTCATATTGACTATATTCCAATGGAGTTCATTAAATGAATAAGGCATTTATCAAATGTAGCTATGAATTCATAGTTGAACAAGTCTATCAATTTGATTGGTGAAAACTCTGAATTAAGGAACGCGATGGAAAGAAGATTGGCGCTCTTTTTCCTCGTTGTCCTATATTGAGGACATCCATCGGCGAATGAATAATTTTGCAAAATATTTTCTAGAAATAGTGACCGTGTTTTATAAGGTTAATGTGACTATCGTTAGTTTATTATCAAATTAATAATTATAAAATCTAAATAACTCGGAACAGAAAAAAACCCCATGATAAACAACAATCATTCGTTGTGGAAACTCAAATCATTATCAAAACGGAATAACAGTAAGCTTATTTATCTCGTGATATGCACGGAACTTTTAGTTTTTTAAGTTTATATTAAACCTTACAATGAAGATTACATACCTCGGCAAACTTTTTCCCTATACATGTATGAGGCCCAGCTGAGAAGGGTGTGGAGGCGTATTTACTAAACCTGAAAAAAACCCATGACTTTAACATAAAACGTCTTTTATGTCGAAGACCAATCTATGACTAAATGAAAAGGGAAAAGCCTCTATTTATTTTGCCTTCAATAGATAGAATCATTAACACAAGAGCGAACCATTTCTTACACACTGATTAATCTCTTGAAAACATAGTTCATCAAATATTTACTTCTCTGAGCTGTCGATGTGGAATCGTTCTGGCGAAAACTTTGTCGGATCTCTTACATTTTGCTCTGCCCTGGACGTCGCGTAGAAACTTACCTGTAAAACGAATGTTCACAGTACTCACACTGGTTTATTCTGTACATTAAGTACGGTTTGATTTTATTACTATACAAGTGGTTCAAAGGACAAAATGGATTATTTTAACTACATGTATTTTAAGGGGAAAACGTGAAGTGTTTAAACAAATTAAATAGCACTGTAGACTTGATAATTGTCAAAAAATAAATAATCATAATACATGTATTTAAATGGAGCCTTTGTGATAGAAAGATGATTTTTCATTCGTTTCTTTTCTTTTTTAAGTTTGATTTAACTGCATCCGAACTTTAATTTTAATCTGGCGTAAACGTCCCTTTTGATAACTAATATGTGAAATAAAAACTCATTTGAAAGATTGTGTTATTTCACAGCACATAAAATTTATTTTTCTGTTTATCACATAACGTAGTGTAACGTTTATGGTTGTGCTGGTATAGCAATAGGACAAAGGGCGTTAACTCTTGCATTGCTTTGTTGTGTTCTAACAGTCTTTTGTGTTGAAGTTGAGGTTTGAGTAAATAAAAAACAGAAAAGCAGAAGATGACTTTTCAACACTTTAGCTAATTCCCCGAAACATATATCAATATATAAGATTTTAGATAAACTTGTACCATGTTATGCTTACCATCATGTCAGTTCCGGCGGGGATGAGGTGACCGCCA